ACCGCTCTTCCGATCCCCCCTCCCCCGCTTCTTTTTTCCCCTCAAAATCGGAGGAGGGAGGGGCGGGCGCCCTGGCCCCCCGCTGCGCCGAGTGCGCCTGCGCAGCCTCACATTCCAGGCCGGGGAACGCGCGCCGGCTCACCTTGCACTGCGCCTGCGCCCTCCGCCTGGGTAGTACTTAAAGAAGGAAGCGAGCGCGGGGTCGACGGACCCCCAGACAGCGTTCCATCGGCTGCGCATGTGTGTCGCCAAGGCGCCAGCCGGCCGCCCGCGGCACCGCGCTTGCGCGGCAAGCCGGGAGCAGGGCGGGAGAAGAGGGCGAGTTGGCCGCAGCTGCCAAAGCCGTGGCCGCCTCTAGAGGGCGGCAGAGAGTTGTGGGAAGCTCTCGCTCCCCGACGCCGCCCCCTGGTGGCCTTGCGGGGTCTCGCAGCCCGGCTTTGGCAGCTCTCTCCTGGACTTCTCCCAGGCCGCCCCATTTGAGCTGTGGGGGGGTTGGGGAAGGCCTGCTTGGGGCCACGTGGAGGGCTGGTCCCCAGTTTGGTGAGCTGGAGTGGTGGTGACCCCCCTTTGACTTGCAGCTAAGGTTACTTATGGGAGCAGCTGCTACTCCAGGACTAGGCCGTCTCGCTTGAAGCTTCATATTTATAACTTGTGGGGTTTCAGATTCTTATTGCCTGCTTTCTTTCACTGGTGATAATGTGGGTCGTAGGTCTGCCATGCTGTGGGAGCGTGACTCCGTGCCCCATGTTGTAGGGATCTTGGGGCTTTTTGTAGGTTAAGAGCAGAGGTGGGTGGCGTCAGGTTTGTATTTTCTCCCAGGATGGGGTGGAATTAGCTGTGGGAAGTGGAAGATGCCCACTTTCCAAGCTGATGTTGGGTATCTGCATGAGCTGAGTTTGGGAAAAAGATGCTGTCTTGAGGGGCAGTGGAAAAAGCTTTGTTATTTCTTCCTTTTGTAGAAGATGAGATGTTCTCGGATATCTACAAAATCAAAGAAGTTGCCAATGGTCTCTGCCTGGAAGTGGAAGGGAAGGTAGGTGAGAGCTGGCTTGGTTTGCTGCATGGTGTAGTTTGATGGACATGGAGAAATGGTCGTTCTTAGCTAGCTTTTTGAGCCAGGGATTCTTACTCCAAACCCTATTAACCCATTTCTTTCATGCCTCTTTCTGTGGAGAGATTGAATCTATGTTCATTAGAGTAGCTCTTCAGAAGTGAATCCACACCTAGTTCTGCCAGCATAGGACATTCTGCCTCCCACTCCCCCGAGATCACAGCACCATTATAGCAAAATGTCCTAATTTTGTTGGCACAATTTTTGACCCCCCCCCCCCTTTCAAATGTAGGAATGGCAGTGGGATCTCTGGGAAAGGTGACTTCCCTATTTTATCCTTAATCCCACCCACCCACCCAAAATGCTCAAATTGTAGTGCTGAAGTTTGTCAGAAGTTTGTGGCTGATGGGTTGAAGTTTTCAGAGTAGAAATAGGAGTGTTATCTCCTAGATATGTCTTATTTCCAACCCTAAAACAGCCTGAACATGGGAAATAACCACACTGTATTATGTCACCAGCCTTCTGATGACATCACCTCCAGCTGATGAGGGAGCAAATTGTGGCCTTTTAGGGGGATAAGGTAGAAACTGGAAAGTGGTATTGAAATTTCTGGAATGTTGCGAATTCATCTTTGAAGTAATTTATTACCACCTACTCCAAGTGATATATTTTGAACAATAGAACGAGAGTGTAGACTGCTTTTGTGTGGGGGGGGAGGTCAAATACTGGGCTTGATTTGAAGAGGTAGAGAAAATAGGTAACCTTTATTCTATTCAGAATATGTGTTGTTTGGGCTAAGAAAAAAAACTTTTGGAAATTCTAATGCAGTGGTTCCTGAATTGTCTATGCCCCACACCCCTAGGAAATGTTTGATTAATGTTCGCACCCCCTACAAAAGTAATATCACATTTGAAGATGAAGTGTAATTTCTATTGCAGGTGAATAAATTGAACTTTAAAAATAAGCTTTTAACTCAATGCATAAAATTGTTGCACCCCCTGAAATTCCATCTTGCACACCAGGGTTGGGAACCCCTGTTCTAATTAATGGCATGTTGTAATCCTAAATATATGAGTCTTATCAGAGTTTCTTGGTTATTTCAATGTATCAGATGGTGAGCAGAAAAGAAGGTGAAATTGATGATGCTTTAATTGGTGGAAATGCATCTGCTGAAGGTCCAGAAGGAGAAGGTACAGAGGCCACAGTTATTACTGGTGTTGACATAGTAATGAACCATCACCTTCAGGAAACAAGTTTCACTAAAGAGTCTTACAAAAAGTACATCAAGGACTACATGAAAGCGTAAGTGAACTTGGACTTCATTATTTCAAGTGAATTATGTAGCATAGGATTGGCCTTCAGCATTTTTGAGAATTTTGTAAAATACAGACCCCTGCCTCTTTATGGATGAAACTGGCTGCCGAATGTGCACTCTGCCTATATGGGGGTATCTGTAATTCGTGGTTTGGTTCAAACAAATAACCTTCATGTTGGTAGGGCCCATCCCTTTAGAGATTTAGTAGGTAGTTACACTGGGCAGTGAGAAAAGATAGCAGGGATAGAATCTGTCCTGCTATGAATTTGGGTTCCTGGCTCTCCCTCTATTATTGATTACATAGGCACCTATAGAGGGGGGGGTTCTCCAGCAACAGTGCCTTTACCAAGCTCTAGCAGCATCAAAATTATGGCATATGCATCATGATGCCCTGGTACAAATAGCACAATTATTTAATAATGTCTGGCATGAGTATGTAGGTTGCATTAGGTGTGATGGCTGTCCTGCACATCTTGTTTGCATCCCTGCATATTCCAGTCAGATGATAATCCTATCCAATATGTCCTTATTGATCATGCATAGATCTTGAATCTTAGATGGTCAAGCCCATGCACTAAACCCACTAGTGTTGCTTTATTGTATGATTTCTGCCTAAATTTCACTTGTGGGGGGAGAAGAGGGACAGGTATTGAAGAATTGCCTTCTTTCTCTAGAATCAAAGCCAGACTTGAGGAAACAAAGCCAGAGAGAGTAAAGCCTTTCATGACAGGAGCAGCTGAACAAGTTAAACATATTCTTGCAAACTTCAAAAATTATCAGGTAAGTTCCAAAGCCTCTTTTTTTCCTGAAAATATGTAAAGCCTATGTGATCCTAGTGTTACTGTAAACTAGTAGCTTTTTGCTACAGACTTAAAATGCATTTTGTTATATATGGGTTTTATTCTAAAATGACTTTTAGGGGCACCTTTTTCAACCTCTTACTCAGGTCAGACAGAGACAAGATGTAATGAAAGGCTTAGGCGAGGAGGAGACTGGTATGAGAGATCAAGGCTATCAGGAGGGAGGGGGTGCATTCCAGAGGAAGGGGCAAGGCAAGCACTTTCTCAGCCCGCAGCAGGACCATGAGAAGAAGAGGCTGAGGCTGGCCCCTCCCCAGACTCTCATGGGGTATATCCGCTAGCAGCTTTAGGGTGGGTTTAGTCTGGTGAGATTCTGTCTGTAGTGTGTAAGCAATAAAGGAACTACACTGGACTGGACTGTTTTGTTGTTGTTCTTGGGCTGAACCTGACAAGATTCTCTAAACAAGGGATGAACAGAGTTTAATGTTCTGGGGACCACACCAATCTGACCGTTCCATGTCTAAAATATAATTAAATGCATTGTGTCCTGGAAGATTTATATCTGTATTAGGGGATTTAGGAAAAAAAAGATTGTATAGCTAGAGGTGTAGATTTTACATGTCTGTGCTCTAAATCTGCTCATATCGCAACTGTGACTCTGAATTACTTTGGAAAACTGCTGTGCCATCATAAAACTATGATAAAAAACCAAGATTTGTAAGGCTTACACAAATTTTAAAATAGAAGGGATAAGGTGCTGCTTATGATGCACACGAATTGTAGAAAGTATTGTTTCAAACCAAAACAAATGTATTGTGTTGTGGATAGACCACAGTGATAGAAACAAGGACTTGAAATGCTTTTGTTCTAAGTTTTGGATAAAATAACAGTGTTAGTCTCTTGCTTTTCCCAACTTTGGTTCATAGGTTCTAGTAGAGTTTTGAAACAGTAGTGGAAACGCTGGAGTGTCTGACTCTGTGCACATAATAGAGGACATCTCCTTTAGGTGAATATGTTTCCTTCACCTGGCAGGAATTCACAATACAGAAGGCCCTGCGTGTTCTCACTTCTCTGATGAAATGAGAAGTACTAAGTTAGATTTTCGACTACTGACAGTATTATACAGTGATAGTTGGCATATGTGCTGATTGTTTCACACACACAACAGTCTGCTTGATTCATATATTACAGGTGTTTTGGATTGTGAATAGAATGGTGTTATTCCATGCAGAGAACAAAATATAGTTGTCCTGCACAGAGCTTATTTTTGTGGGGGGACCCCAAGGATATGGCACTGGAAGGAGTGGGAAGGCACTGGGATCACTGGGCCCCTGGAACATGCTATGCTGGGAGCTGTTGAGGAGATACTGGAAGCAACATGCACCAGCCTTGTTCTTGTACCATTTAAAACATTTTTTCTGTTTCATGCATGCCCATGGAGGTAAATATGTTTTAAGGTGTTTTGCTCTCGAGCAGTTTTAAATTTTAATTACACCTTGCTTAGCAGTAGGCAGAACAAGAGCCAAACTTGTATTAACGTGTAATATTTCTTCCTCTAGTTTTTTGTAGGAGAGAATATGAATCCAGATGGCATGGTGGCATTACTGGATTTCCGCGAGGATGGCGTGACCCCCTTTATGATTTTCTTTAAGGATGGATTAGAAATAGAAAAATGCGTAAGTATAGATTTACAAGACCATGGGTAAATATCTTTGCAGGCAGCAGTTACAGCATAAAAGTCTTAACAGAAGAGTAGATAGTTCTAACAATAGCTGGCTTGATGTTTATAAGAAGTGGAGAAGCAAGATAGGGAGAGAGTAACCCTTATCTAACAATGACTTTGAACCTCACAGTGTCTCTGGCCCATCCCAGCTAATAGCTATCATGCTGTGGTATATCCCACATACATAATGATGAACTTCAGTAACAGTATTAAGAGAAAAGAATATGCTTACTTTTAACCTGGGTGAGCTCTGTTATTTCTAAAATTTTGTTAATTTATCTGTCCTGAATATTGCTGTTGATGCCATTACAGATGGCCCTTATTTTCACTGCTCCCTGGTTGAGAAAATGTTCGTCACAATTTCCTCTTTCAAACAGCCTCAGAATGAGGAGGTGGGACAGCCTTGCTCCACGCTAAGCATCAACTGATAGGCCAGGAGCTACTTTGTTTACTCTTTGGCTTGCATTAAGATGCAATAGTGACTTCCCTGCGCTTTCTGCCTGCCTGATCACATAGCAGCTCAGATTGAATAAGGGAGAACATTTAAGAATGAATGCTGATGTTGTGTTGAAGACCTGATATGAACACAGGCTAACTTTCATTCATTTCTTAACAGTAACAAGAAATCAATCATTCTGAATCATTTGTCATCATAATTGGCTGCTGCTCTTTATTCATCAACAAACATCATGACTCAACCATGTCTGAAAACTGGACTGATACCATCTTGAGCTTAATTTGATTTATTTTGACCCCGAATTAATTGAAGTGGAGGCATTGGTTTTTAAAAAAAAAAAAAACTTGTCTTGTAGGCTGTCTAAAATAAAAAAAACTCATTTAAACCCAGCATAGGTAATGCCTCTTGGTTTAATGTGTTGAGCGGGCTTCTTCGGGCTTCTCGTAGCTCTTGTGCGTTTGGATTTTTTGACATCTCAATAGCATAGTGTGGCCCTAGTGCTTGTGTCTCCAGATACTGGGACCTTGAAACCGGAAGATCAATTGGCCACAACTGAACTGCTTTTTAGAGACTTGGAAACTACTAATAAAGAAGACAGCTTACTTTCTGAAGCGGACTTGGCTTCTTGCCATTCAACAAATCATAACTAGTTGGAGGACAACGTTGGAAGCCTGGATGTGGTGTTGCTCTGCATGCTAATCTGAGTGTTTCACCAGTGAAGGAGACATGGAATTCTTCAACATATCATGGCAAATTTTGACTGAGGCAGAGAGTGGGAAGAGAATTCTTGGCAGCAGAAACAAGCATGTTGGGCAAAGAATCTACACATACTCGAGGCATTGCTTATATGCTGTAATATGAAATAATTGTAATTTAAATACATAAGTATAATACCGATTTAATCACAGGTTACTAATTTGCTGTGTGGTGTATCAATTCCAGCCTAAAGCCATTAGTTGTAGTTTAGTAAACTTGAGCACTGGTCAAAGGGAATGGCTTTACGTAGTAAGCATTGTGTACTTCCTGTTTGAATTGTGCAAAGTTTGAAGTACTGGAATCATGATGATAATGTTTTCCCAAATAGTTACTTGTAACTGGGGAGGTGAGGTAGGGATTCACATCACATTAGTTGAGGATTGTTCCTTGTTTATTATAGTTAGACCTTGTCTTTGTACCAGGATACCATTATGGACAATTGTGAGTAATAGAAAGTAGGCAGGGGAGAAATGGAAAAGATGTTCTTGCTTCAAGGGAGAGGAGCCAGGCATGCTGTCTTTGCTTTCCTTTTGTTGGGGAGGGAGTCCTGCAATAGAGGTTCTTGGGGTGAAGAACTAGGAAATTGGGGTCAACAAAATGGCTTTGTAGCAAGATACATGTGAAGGGGGGTGAGCCTGGTGTGCTGACAGAACAGGACTAGAAGTCTTGCATGCTAATTTGAGATCTCAAAAGGACTTGTTTCCCCTATATTTCCTATTTGTAAGCAGAAAGAAACGTTCAGTACCCTAAAATTTTTACCCTCCATCACGCCTATCTTGGGTAAGCTAGGCTAAATAGATTCGCTTTTAACTGGCAGCAATAGGCGTTCAGCTCTGCAGTAGTAGTACATATGCATAGGTTTAAGATGACAGCCCAGATTGAGTTGCTGTGGACATTATGTGTGTGCTTGTGCTTGTGTGTATGTGTATGTGTAGACATAGGCAGATGTGATTGAATAATTTTGCAAATGAAGTGCCTTGTTTTAGGGAGTGGCAGTTTTAGTTGATCCTTAAAATCAGTTTTACTTTTCTCATGGCCCTAATTTTCTGTAGAGCTTAACTGCTGGCTGGTGTGCATATATATAGATGCATGCCCATTCAAATCCATTAGATACGCAACTTGTGTTAAGAAAAAAAAAGTATTTCCACTTTTGTTGTTGATTGTTTTTACTGAGAATTGGTAACTGTAATTGATGAGAGGAAAGAAGTTTTCCTGTCAATATAAAGTATATAGCAGCCAAGAGAAATTGGAGAAAATGTCCTTCAGGTAGGAGTCAGTGTACTCAGTATGTATGTCAGTAGATTTTCTTTTTAAGAAAATAAGAATATTTGGTCTTTCACAACCTCCTTGAAAGTGGTCATGTGGAAGAGGCCAGCAGTGTTATCAGAATTGTATCATCAGAAACTACTGTGATGGACTGGAATGGAGGAAGTGGGGTGAAAATGGCGCGCTCATCTCCAGAGCGTTGCTCTGGAAACGAGAGCGCTGTTTTCACCCCACTTCCTCCATTCCAGTCCATCACAACTACTTAGTATTTCTGTGACTTAAGATTTGCGTGTATGTTTTGGCTCAGTTGTACTATTTCGTTGCCCTTGAAATCGCTAATTCACAGGATATTAGGTCGATCTTTTGAATTTTTGGAGGTTCTTTTTTTTAAGTCTCTGTCACTATTTCCTTCCCAGTCTGTACCCTACAACACTGGGTACTTGATTAAGGAGAGCTTAATTTTTGAGAAAAAGGTATTTTGTATGCATTGTATAAATGTTTTCAATTTAACATTTGCCATTGTTTGAATTAGAAGTGATAGTTGAAGAACTGTGTTCAAGCAAGCATTGATGAAGTATTATGTTTGGAGCAAAGTGCTGTCGGAATAATAGAAGAAAAATACCAGTATAGGACCTGTTCATTGCAGTGGCATACTTCCTGTTTCAGTGCTTATCTAAAATAGGAGATTGGGCTGTTTTTTTTGTTTTTTCTGTGAAAGGAAAGACGGTGTCAGCAGTGCTGTGGTCAGCTAAGTCTCTTAGTTGGTGAGAGTTGCAGCATTGTGGCCATTCCAGTATACCTTTTGAATGTTCACGAGAAAACAGAGTTCTAAACTATCAGACGCATATTTACGGGCAAAGTGCATATGGTCTGCCCTTCCAGGCTTGCAGTTTGTATTGAAGGAAGATAGATGTTAACACGTGGACATCAAGATCTGTTTCCTGCCACTTACCAGATTGTGTGACTGCTTTGACCGCAACAGGACTATTCAGTATTTAAAACTGGGTGTGTGTGTTCCCTTTGGAAGAAAGTTTTCAAGAAGGCATAGACTTAGAACAGTGGGATGAAAGAGTTTTATGTCTATAAAGACTGCAGGTTCCTGAGTACATAGGCCTGAGGCAGCAAAGCGTTCGCAACACTAAGAATGCTTTTTAAAAGGGCCTATTCCTGCATAGGCGCCCAGCCTAAGAGGGGAGCCTTAGGTGTTCAGATTACCATAGTGTAGAATATGGATTGTTTTGGCAGGTCTTGCAGGCAGGACCAAATGCAAAACATTTACTACACGTGTAATCATCTGGTCAAGATCTGGAGAAGTGTTACGTTTGCTGTTGAGTTCATGTTAAAGCTAAAACTTCATTTTAAATTGTTGGTGTTAAAAATTCCTGAAGCTGATTTAACTGTTCCATTGTTTACTCTTGAGAGCTTCCAGTAGGCTCAGTTTTGCTTATTTTAATAATCCCCTTGGCCATATTTCTATACATTGTAACACTTAATCTTCCCATGTTTAATCAGGAGCATGTTTTGCATCCTGCCTTGGGTGAAAAGTAGCAGCACTTCCAATTCTAATGGAATTCAGACCATCACATTTCAGAAGACGCTCTATGAAACTACCTGTTTTGCATGTCTGGTAACATGATCCAGAGAAATTTCTGCAGTATAGATTGCTGTGCTTAATGGAGTAAGCTTTGGTACAGAGTATACAGCATGGTGTATTAGAGAATCACAGACACAGGTCTGAGGCTCCTTCATTGCAAGCAAAAATGCTTTTTTCCCCCAAATCTCTAGATTTTTCACAAATGCAGCCTGAAATCATATTTCCTGAAGATTGCTATCCAATTCCACACAATATTCCAGATAAACTTACCAATGTCTTAGCCAAAACATTAGGTTTAATTTCTTACTCTGTGAGAAGGGTTTCGTTTTTATTTATTAAAAAAAATACAAACATGTATGTGCGCACACACCTCTTTCTGTAAAAATACTGAAGCAATTTACAATTTTAAAAATGATATAAAAAGACATTGGGGGTTTAGTGGCTAGCAAGGATCAGTGTTAAAAAGCCAATTCACTAGTCTTGGGCAGGTTTGAATTGGCTATGAAGAGCACAGTTGAGAACAATTCTGGGAAAGAAGTAAATGATTGTAAGCACCTTTTCCACACTCAAGTCACTGGAACTGAAAGAAATTCCACCAAATGGAGCGTAATGGGGTATTAGAGATGAGTTATATGCCATTAGAAGCAGACCCTTCAGCACAGGAAGTTCTGTTATTCCTACTGGTGGGACAAAATTTCAGGTGCTGTGACAACAGGGTTACTACAACCCTATTGGAAATGGAAGAGAGACTCTTACGTATCATAACTCCCTTTCTTGAACCTCCAACACTAAAGAGGTAGGTGTATTTCTGATGGATATTTGTAGTTCATCCAACCGCAATAATACGTCACGCCAGCCACCTTACCTATAATGGAATCCTATAGATGTCAATGCTATCCTGGAATATTACATACTTAGGGAAAATAGCTGGAGGCCTTTATGTGCCCAAAGTGATGTGTTTTTTTGATCCAGTTGTGTTAACTCTCTGATGGCAGATTTACCCATAAGAAGATTTGATCTGAATAGCTTACTGGTTTAAGTGTAATAAAAAGACATCAATAAGTCTCTTCACAATGTTTATCTGGAGGCTGCAGGCCTCAAATGTCTTCCAGGAACTCAACATATGCTAGTGCTCGTTGCCATCTCCTGTCTTCCAGGGAGATGCCTTGCCTTGCACCCTTCCCCTTAAGCCCAGCATGTTGGCGATTGGAGGGGTCCCATAGCTTTTGTGCCCCTTGCTGGCAAGTAAAAGAGAAGACAAATTTTATTGTGCCACCTTGTGGGACTGAGGCCTGTGGCTAGATAAGTCACCCTCTTTAAGGGAAAATAGGCAATTTTATAAGGAATAGAATCAAACTTTATTTCTAAAATAAGTTAACTTAAAAACTCCTTTCAAACTTGAAAATAGTTACAGATAGTCCCCAGGTTAAGAATGCCCGGTTTATGGACAACCTGTAGTTAAGAACGGAGCCTATGGTAGCAAAATTCAAGTTAAATACACAATGGTTCGAGTAAATTACACAATACTACTTACACAGTATTAGACAATAATACTGTTCTGGCTTAATACAAATTTGATTTAAGCACAGACCTTGGGAATGGAGGTCTGTCCTTAAACTGGGGACTACCTGTACATGCAAAACAAGTGACAAACAAAAATAGAGTTGTTCAAATCACGAACTGCTTCTTAAAGAACCTCTTGACAGAAAAATACGCAGGAAAAGACTGAGCAACTGCACAATGAAACTGCTTTGTTCCTATTTATCTAATGGAAAGAGGTCCTAAGTTACATAAAAGCACACAATGCATGAGCTTATATGGAGACAATTAGATATGAGACAATAAAACACCTAAATCCGTTCCAATAAGAGGTAATCTTGTATAATGTTTCTAGCTATACTTGCTACCCATTCCTTAGAGACAGATCTGTGAAATAGCAGCCCTCTGCTTGCTGTCCTGGAGTTTCTCTAGCTTCTCGCTGATTCTGATCTTTAATTTCTTTTTCAAAACATTGAAAAAGACAATGTTTTTCTCTCCTTTACCCTGTCCCAGAACCCAGCTTCTACCTTTGTCCTAAAGAATCTGTTTCTGTCTTTAGCAGAAAAGGAGGATAATGGGGTAATCTTCCTACATACATGGTCTCCAGCCATGCTACCATTCAAAAGCTCCTGCTTGAGACAGGAATGTGTATTAAAACTGAGATGCTGCTGGCTGTTAGTGAATGTGGGCTGGGGACTCACTTGCCCATGCATTACAGAGGCCCCTCTGATACATTTCATCTATTTATTATAGTTAG